TAAGTGAATTATACAAAAATGATTTTAATGATTTGGAAAAGGTGTATCTTGATGGTGAATATGAAACATATTATCACTCTTTGATTGATGATGAGAGATTTGCTAATTTGAAGGGCATTGCGGACCTTTGTCGTTTGATGGTGGAAACTGGGAAACATCGTTCTTTTCCTTTGATTTATAGGTTATTAAAGTTCACTTTGGTTTTGTCCGTAGCAACCGCAACCGTTGAAAGATGTTTTTCCGCAATGAAGATCTTGAAGACGGACTTACGTAATAAAATCGGTGATGATTTTTTGAATGATGCTTTGATTTGTAGTGTAGAAAAAGAAGCACTTATTGATGTTAAGATCGAACGAGTTTGATAGAACGCTTTCGGAAAATGGGCAATCGTAGAGGTCAACTTTAAAATGTTATGTAAAACTTTTACGCTAGTTTGTTATTTCTATTGAAATCATAATTAAAAACTTTATTTTACTATCTTTTATCAGAATTTTTTTTTGTGCTACCTCTTTTAAATGTTTCTGGTTCCGCTACTGCTCGTCGTGTACATGAGACATGATAATCCTTGTGGCCACTCTTCTCAAGTAGTTTTCTATTTTATATGTTCTCATCAACACATCCTCAAATGATGTTTTGTATCATTACACTATACCCTAACAATCTTTGGAGCATATCTAAACCTTGACTAATAAGGTCGTCCAATATACACTATACGAACCATATGGTGGTCTTCGTCGTGATACAATCGTTTTATTAATAGAAAAATCAAATTCCAAAACTTTTGTAGAAACTTAACCGATTAGTAATTCACATGCAATAACTGTTGAAATCAAAAGTTTTGGTTCTTTTTCTTTCCATCGTACCAAAATATCTAGATTTTGCAAAAACCACTCACGCTTATAAACATTAGCATATTTGATCACACGTAATTTTCTAGATTTCCTCCTAGAAGAGACCGTTTGTACTAGTTTATTAAATTCATTAACTAGGTTATCTTGTAAACGTTAAATAATTTTGTAAATATATTATATTATTAGATTTTCTTATTTTGTTTTGTAAGGGGTCTTTGTGATTATTTCAAGGGTATGAACTATATCGTTTACTGTAATTTGTTACACCAACATTGTTTATAGTTGTGTTCAAAATGGTAGACATATAAATGAAACAACTGTCTAGATTATTCTATTAAACTAACTTTCATTAGTTGTGGCATTGGGTCTTAGATGTTCGACCTAACTTTGTACTTAATAAACCTAAGTCAGTGGATGGTTAAGGGTGGAGGGTGTTGAGCGGGTTGCGTTTTTTGGGTTGGCGGTACCGTCGATGGGATGATTCCGTCCGCCTAACGGTCCCTCAGCCCGGTGCGTTTGGCGGGTTATGGAAACCGTGATGTCTTTATTCTCCAATTTTTGATTGTTGCCCGGTCAAAGGGAATATATAGATTTGTTTTAGGGTAAATTACATGAATGGTCCCTGTGGTTTGGAGTAATCTGCGCGTTTGGTCCCTAAAAACTTTTTTTAACTCGCAATGTACCTACATTATGTTTTTGTTGCACTGTTCTTTCTAAAAAGAACGATTTAACCTTCTTGATTTCTTTTATCTTTTTTCAAACTATCAATTAACTAAAAAAATATGGAAATAATATGGAAATAATATTAATCAAACATATTGGTCTGATTCAAAAACCCACACCGCCAAACTCCACCCTCCCTCCTTATGTCCAGTTGCCCGGAAATCTCATCACTCTCGCCGGAAAATCTCACACATCCACGACCTTGCCAGACCACCACCTCTTGATTTCTGCACCATCCACCATTCTATTTCTGCTCCCCTCTCCTACCTCCTTGTGTACGGTGTTTTCCGGTGGAGTCCAGTATTTTGCCCATACACTGTTTTTTTGGATTACCAATCATTTATAACCAAAATATAAAACAAAACCATGGATGCAAACTGAATATAGAAACCAACTAATATAGAAGATAACAAATCGAGTTTGTTAGAAAATGGAGTTCTTTGATGAACCTAAATCAACCACCAGATACAAAATCGAAAAAGGTCATCGTCCCTAACCTGCAACTGTAACTAGACACCATGATTCTTTTTTTTCTTCGTTGTCTCTTGATTTCTATCCTCTTCCTCTTCTTTGTTTCTAGTAATTAACGAGACCATGTGTTCCGATAAGTCTGGGGGTGCACTGTGGGGAAGATGATTCTGACAACTACACCAGAGGAATACAAGTTCTTGAAAAGAAACAACAATTATGTTTACTCCCTTTCTTTCTCCCTCAAAATCTAAAAATTCAACGGAATCGATCTTCAGATCTTATTTTCAGAAAACCTTTTAAGGTTTTCGGAAAAGCTTTCCATTTCAGAAATCGATTTTCCAAGTCCCGTTTTGCTTCGTGATTTCAGAACCACCACGAGCGTCGGTGGGTTGAAGAGAGATGGGAGAAGCAGTGATGGAGATGGTGGACGTTTGTTGCTTCAATCGACATCTGCAATCACTAATTGAATAAGGTAAGATAAGTGTAATTTTTGCTTCAATCCACATCTACAACCATCTTCTTTGCTAGAATCCTTCCAATGACCTTTCTAATCAGATCCTTCTTTATGACCCAACATTAGATTTTCCGGCAACAAAAAGGGGAGGTGGGAGATGAATTCAGGTCGACAGAGGAATTTCAAGTGGAGCAACGATATGAGAAATGACGAGAGAGAAGAAGTGAGCTGTTCTACAAGATCTTTCTTTCATCATTTTTGGGGATGAGCTTATTTTGGGGGCGTACAATTATAAGGAGACTTTTCCTCCACATTTAATTAATATTTTTTAATTAAATGATGATTTAAGAAAAGTTAAAAGAAATCAGTAAGGGTAAATAAGTCTTTTTAGAATGGACAGGGAGCAAGCATGCAACAAAAACATAAAGCAGGGACGGTACGAGTTAAAAAAAGTTTTTAGGGACTAAACATCCAAATTACCCCAAAACACAGGGACCATTCGTGTAATTTACCTTATTTTTAATTTTTTTTACCTATATATACCCATCAAACCTCAACCCAACTTAATTCCATTCTATCTCAAATTTCGTTATAGTTTCTCTCGATTCGATTCTAGTCTTCTTTAATTTCATTAATTTTTCTCTTTGTAACCCTTAACAAAATGAATCCAAAAGCCTGGAAAATAGTAATAGAAGATAATCCCTATGGTTCATCTTCATCCAACGATGAACCTTGCAACGCTAATTTGTTAGTTGCATTATCTCATACTACACAAGTTCTATTTCAGAATAATGTCGGGTCAAACAACATTCATAAGAGAAACACAATCCATAAAGATCTTATATAGGTTAAACAATTATTAATCTGACATTACTTTGCTACTGATTAAACTTTTGCTAACGAGTAATTTCACAAATGGTTTGTATGAGAAAAGTTTTGTTAATGCGACTTGTTAGTGATGAAGTCGTTGACCCGTAACTACTCATGAATTGCATAATGCTAAATCTCATCACCAGCTTCGATATGATCTTTCTGATCACATTGAACATGCATACATTTCATTTGTGGATAACTAGTTAAGTTTAATTGTCATTTAAAATTTTAATTATATTGTCTTTTTTAATTGTGTTTTCTATTTATTTGTTCTGTTTTTTTAATTAAAAATGTTTTGTTTTGTTTTATTTTACACTTTCTAATTTAATTTAATTAAAACTAGTGTTATGAAAATGAGTTAAACAGGTTGAGAAAGAGGGTTTCGAGTGGGTTAAGAAAGATGAAAGAAAAAAAAATGATGTAAAGTTAACGTGACAAATGTTAGTATGATAATAAACAACGGATAATTACGTTGTATTTAAAAAATTCTTGTCATAAAATGTTTCAAATGAAATATAATCATTCTTCGAAATCTCCTTACATGTCGACTTTTTAATTTATTTTGAGGTATATTTCGTTCTTCAAATACTTGAAATCATATAAAATAAACGAATTCCACCTAGTAGCAACAAGATTTGGACTTAAAGTTTAACAACCGTCAACTTTACAATACCTTCTCTTATTATAGTATTATTTTCTTTTTGGGAAAGTGAAATTTCCTAACCACGATTTCAGGTAAGCTTTCACACACCGAATAATCTTTTAGGTCCTGTTTGATAGTTGTTGACTGAGAAAGTGTTGACTAAAAAAGGTTTGTCTGAGTAATAAGTTATAACTGAGTAAGAAAACATGTTGTTTGATTGTATATCTGACTGAATGTGCTGACAGAGGAAAAATGACCATTTTACCCTCCTATTCTATACATTAATGAATGAAGTTGCTGAAGATTTATTAAAACATACAAATTGTCAAACAAATATTTTAGTAATCTGTGAAATTGGAGAGGAAAAAAAGAACAGACATGGTATTACAATTGGAGAAGAAAAGAGCATTTATTTGTGAAATTATAGGTCAAAAGGGTATTTTAGTAATTTTAACAAGAAATTATCCATAAGTTTTTTATGTTCGATGTTCTACAAGTTTTGACTATTTATACACGAATACGATGGTAATCCAAAACAAAAACATTGATTTTCTAATGAGATTCACATCATCAATTTCATGAAAACCTATCTTCATCAATTTGATGTTGATTCACCAACTTGATAAGATGCTCATAGCTCTCAGATCCATCTTTTTTTTATATCACAATCTGATATGTTTTTTCCATTCTCTTGATTAATCTAGCCACTGAAAACTCTCTCATTAACAAATTGTATCCTCAGGTAAAGTACAAACAATTGAAGTGAAAATTGAGAACATCACAAACCTGAAACCCAAATGTTTGGTCCTGCATATGCATACAAATGATTCTTTGTTCCTACATTTACAGCAAAATAACTTTTAGAAAATAGGACAAAAATCAACAGCAAAATGGGAACATTCAACAATAGTAGAACATTCAACAGCAAAATGGGAAAAATCAACAGAAATCGATAACTGCAAAATCAGAGAAATCGAACCCATACATGTTCAACAGAAAATCAGACCTGATGATGTTCAATAGCAAAGTCGAACCCATACCTAATTATGTGGAAATCGTACCTGGTGAGAAAAATGAGAAGAGGCAGTCGATGGAGGTGTTGGTATGGAAGAGATCGTCGGTAGGTGATCACAGAAATCGTCGATGGTTGGTTGATGCGTGGCTATGGAGACGCTGCAAGAAGATGGAGGCGCTGGAAGAGAACGGTAAGGCAAGGGTAAAGAGGGAAACGTAGCTTTCTTTCTCAGTTAGCTATCTTCCCGCATCTATCTCAATCAGATTTTTCATATCGAGTCAGATGCCCAAAGTTAGATTATCAAACACTTTTTGCTGACCGAGTCAGCCAAAAACGTCTGACTCGACTCGGTCAGACGAGTATCAAACAGGACCTTACTGTAAACATAAGTCTATGTCTTATGTTCCGAAATCACTGCATGCAAGCCTCCATGACCATAATGGTTGAATAATGTTTTGAAGATGGGTAACCTTACAACCCAAATCGTAATCTTGCAATATGTGATACGCTTGTTTATTTAATTCAATTCAAACATTTATGCAAATTTTACAGTACCGCTTTTCAATTTATCGGTCCCATGGTCCGATTTGCACCGAAAATTTTGTAATGTGAGCAACATGAATACATGATGTGCATAAGACTACAAGTGTTGATGAAAATTTCAAGCTGATAACACAAAATTTGGTGAGGACGTTCCAAAGAAAAACATTGAGAATATGAGATTAAAAGAGCACTTTTAACTTTGTTGTTTGTTCCAACCAAACAACTTCATCATTATATATATATATATATATATATATATATATATATATATATATAGAGAGAGAGAGAGTTAGGTTCAGGTGTTCTAAGTAAGTATTGTGTTATTGTATGCATAGATGTGGGCCAATCAAAATTAAATAAAAATTTAAATAATTAAATAAATAAACAAGGGTATTTTAGTATTTTGATAAATAGCTTCCACAAATAGTCCCTATAATCATGTTAGCATTCACTTTTAACCTAATTTTTTTTTTCTTATATACAGCCATCATCAGTCAAACACCTTCTCTCACTCTCTCCGTTCAACTCCGACTGTATTACCATGGCTCCACCGCCGTCCCCCACCAGTCTCCATATCAAATCTATCGTATTTCCACCATCCGTCAAGCCTTCTGGTGCAACCACCACTTTGTTCCTCGCCGGAGCAGGTATTAATTCCCATATTCAAATCAGTAATTAAACTCGATCTTCCAACGATATAAAATCATGTCACTTTCATCTCTTCAGTTAGGTTTACAATTTTATTGTTAATTGGAGTTTGAATCGTCTAAATCGTGGTTTCTATCATGCGCAAGGTGTGAGAGGTATGTAAATCGAAGGTAACTTCATGAAGTTCACGGGGATTGGTGTGTATCTGGAGGATAAAGCTATTCCGTCACTCGCCGTTAAATGGAAGGGCAAAACTGCTGTTGAGTTGACAGATTCCGTTGAGTTCTTCAGAGACATTGTTACTGGTAAGCTTCAACTAATTTTGTGCTTATGACTCTGGTCAAGAACGAGCATCATCTGGTCAAAAACTAGTCAGGTATTCTGAACACCTCAAATTTGATTCTAAATAACATTTATTGATCTTCAAAAGTAAACTTTTTTTTTCTTCCAGGAACCTGCTTCTGTTGCATTTTCTGCTCTGAATTTAGCAATGCACTTTCATGGGTGGCTTTCCTTCTTCATTCAAGCTACCTATGAAACCAGATAAAAAGCCTTACTATGATTATGCTGGTCTATGGCATTTATACGGGCTTCTAGCATTGAATTCCTGGTTTTGGAGTGCTGTTTTTCACAGTCGGTGAGTTTATCAAGGTCTCTTTGGTATGATGGAATCAAATCACAAAGGAATGGAATGAGTTCATGGGGAATGCTTCATTCCGTTCCTATTTGACAAACAAACAAGATTTTCATTCCATTCCCTCTTTGATTACTGCATATACCAAACACTACCTACATGATTGTTTTGTCCCAAATATATATATTAAATAAAAAAAGTTTTATAAATTTTGTTGTTATGTACACAGAGATGTGGAATTGACAGAAAAGTTGTACTACTATTCTGCAATTGCATTGCTTGGATACTGGCTGATTGTATCCATATTAAGAAGGTAGTCATCGAGAGTTGCAGCCTTTATCTTCGTTCCCTTGACACTGTTGGTAGGTCTAAATACCTTTAAGCAAATTTTCTAGTTTTCTGAATTTCTTTGAAAAATATTAAAAAAATACTTGAGAAGATGTATCATTCTATCAATTAGGTATTAGATATTGAACCTTAAGATCAATTTGTTTTGAATTATGTGTTTGTGTTATTCATCTTTTTTTTTTAATAAAGAGAATACCAAATTACTAATTTTGATAATATTCGTTTATAGTATTCTATCAGAAAAGAATGTTTTTTATGCTATTCATTAACATATTCTGTTAGAATACCCGAATTAATATAATTATTGGTAAATGAATTCGGATTCTATCAGAATGAAATCACGAATTCCAATTATGTTGGAATGGAATATGGATATTTTCTCACTAATTTATTCATTGGATTTGTTTCCACAGAAGCTGATGCTTGAAGAACGGACCACAAAATTTGAACGACGCCTCTTAGCAACATTATTCTTTTAGAATGTGTTAGAGTCTTTGTTAGATTTTGATGTTTTTTTTCTCGATTTGAAAGTTATTAGCTTGAAGAACGGATCACAAAATTTTAACAATAAATGATTGGCCCACATTGATTCTTCATTTCAAATTTGACACTCTAATTACATTAAATTAATAACATTAGAATAAGAAATAAAATAAAATTATAAGGTAATATAATTTCATGTATTTATTTAAATCAACGATTATAATTTTATATAACTATAAAAATATCTCTTAATTAATAATTTATTTGAAATAATTGATTAATAATTTTAAGTTTTTACTATGAAAGTTTAATTAATTTTATAACCGTGGTTCTTACGGGTTATTAACTAATATATATATATATATATATATATATATATATATATATATATATATATATATATCACCTTTTCTCTTCAAATAGAAACCAAAAGACAAACATGGCTATAAATCGAGGGGGCGTAACCGGCCATGGAGTCACAATCACAACTAAGAAATCCTAATTAATCATGTAAAGAAAGCATCATATTCCAAACATATACCCACCACCAAACCATATCTTAAAAAGGTTCATTTTTATCACATTCATTTCACTATATTTGCAAGATCTTCAAGATTGCTTTTATTATGCTAAATGGATCATAATATTTAAGAAAATGCCATATATGCACATACAAACACATGTCAATACATGAGAGTACTGCCAATACTCTAATCTAATAAAAAAATTTAGATGCTTCAAAGTGTATGGATTATAATAAAACGAGTACTTTAGTGTTAAACTCTAAGTGATATTGTCTTTTAAGTTATAGCCCCCTCATTGTTGTAATATATTACTATAACCTTAACATGTTGTCTTGAACTAAATTTATTCTATTATTTGGACCTACAAATAAGTGTAACCTTTTCAACCATCCCTTATAACTCATTAGTCATTACCTATAGTTGGCAAAATTGGCTGGGACGGGTTGACTAAAAAGTTAAATATAGGGTGTGTTTGGCAAAAGTGGTTGCTAGCTGGAAGCGGATAGCATGTAGCGTGTAGCGGGTAGCGGGTAGCTGGTAGCGGGAAGCTGTAAGTTTTATTTGTTATATGAGTGTTTGGCAAAAGTAGCTGGAAGCTTTTGAAATATATAAAATTATATAAAAGGACAATTGATTAAAAATAATAAATATATAAATATATTTTTAAGGGTAATTATGGAAATTGATTTCAAAACGTTTGTACTACCAAACAAAGCGAACGTGAAACTTATAATTACCAACATATTAAGTTGTCCTTTTATATATTTAAGTAGGTACTACCAACATATTAAGTTGCATGAACATCTCTTAATTGCTAATCTCATATGATTTGTGTGAAAACATTGTTATATGCCTAGGAATAGCGAACGTGAAACTAGGGTTATTTAGAAAATATGTAAATTAATGTGTGAGCTTGTGTGACGAACCATCAACAAGAGGTTAATTGAATTAGTAATTTGATTAACTACTACAAGTCTTACTTAACCCGAATCAATAAACTAGGAAATTAATTAGTTTAATCACCCGATTACAGCTTAAATTGATTTGTTTTCTAAGGATTAGTAATAGCGAACGTGAACCTAATCACACTAATCGGTAACCAATGCTAATAAATCCATTGCACTTGTCATAAAATCAACCATAGGAATAAACGATTCAAAACCTGAACATAAGTCTTTTCCATTATTGAATTTAGTTGATTTTCGTTTGCTAGTTGTTAGTTGCTTAGTTGAGTATTAGTTAAGTACTTAAGTTTCTAGTCTTGCAAAACTAGAGAAAACCCTTTTTTCTATTACTTATTTTATTTAGATAATATTAGCATTTATTTTAATTGTTTACCGTTCCCTGTGTTCGATACCCTACTTGCTTGAACTATATTACTAATCGATAGGTACACTGCCTTTCGTGTGTTTATTTTGTGTCTAAGTTAGTAGGACTAAAACTAGTGCGTTTCACACACATCAAGTTTTTGGCGCCGTTGTCGGGGAACGGTTCAAATAGTTAATTTTATTTGCTAATTGTTATCAATTTTAATTTATTGATTAATTTTTTTTTATATTTAGTTTAATTTTCATTTTAATTTTTATTTATTATGTATTTTCCAAATCTCGATGCTCTTGATGCTTTTCTTGAGGAAGTAGTACAGGAAATTGAGCAAGAAGATGAGGAATATGACTCAGATGATGATTTGAAGAAATTTGGAAGATGGTTAGATAACATATTGCCTAATAAACAAGAGCAATCTGAGTCACAAGAGCTAAAGGTACAAGATTAAGAATTTAATCCAGAAAGAGATTTGGAGGAGCTGGAAAGGTTACTGGCAGAAGGGTCAGATGAAGAACAAGAACAAGCTGAGTTGCAGGAACCAAGCCGTGGATTGACCATTACCACGACGTGGCCCCCTGTATTTCCAGTTTGTGTTTCGAAGCATGGGGTGACGATTCCAACTTTGGAGAAAGTTCTGAAGCACGATCCATTTTTTTTATTAGTATCCAACCGGTTCCAACCCTTGTCAAGATTCTTGGGTTACATGCATTAAAGCTCGTTTGGTCAATTTTTGAAGCAAAGAGCCAAATTTTACAAATTGGTCCAAAGAAAATATTTAATGCAATGGATGGATTTGCATTGGGTTTATTTGAAGTTTATTAAGTTGGGAGTCCAGCTCAAGACTCGCACAAAAAGAAGCGCTTTCGGGAGGCAACCCGATATCTAGAGTTTGCTTTCTGTTTATTTTTCGTTTTGCTTGATTTAATTTTATTTTGATATGTTCGGTTAAAGATAATTTTTATTTTTGTTTGTTTTGTTTGTTTTATTTTGAACTTATGGTAGCTAGGATTATGTAGGATGTTTTTGTTTTCTATCACTTGTGTTTGCTTTGATCTCTTTAGTTTGAGGCTTAGGATTGCATGTGAGGGTATAGAGTCAAGGATAACCAAGCAAGAAGTCGAGTCTAGGCAAGAGAGAAAACGAAGTTTTGAGTCAAGTTATGAGTACGATTGATAAAAGAGTTATAGAGTATTTATTTACTGAAGAAAAATGAGGGAAAGTATTAGTTTATATTACCCCCATACATCAGAAACGGACCTGGGCAGAATACAAATTTTTTTTCCACACAGCGGTCTACTCGCCGAGTGCATCTTATGGACTCGACGAGTCCATGTGAAATTTCGTGACTTTTCTGCCAGTTATGCTACAACTCGGCGAGTTAGCATATCTACTCGACGAGTCACTCGTTAATTCTATTTTCAAGTCGACAATTTGACCACATTTGATACGGGCATTTGTTCTTTTCTTTGGAGATCATTTTCCGAGCATTTCCAAGAGTTTTTCCTTATAATTGGAGTTGTACCACACGAGATTTTGACACCCAAGACATGGATGAGCTGTTCCCATGTCTAAAGTCAATTGAAGATGGAGCTTAAAGACGAAATATCAACTTCGCACTACTATCCCAGGGGAGTTTGTTCCAATTCTCTCTTTATTTTATTGTTCTTTATCATGCATAATATGCAATGGGTACATTGCATAAATTAAGTGTGGGGTAGGGGGTTGGTTGCATTAGTTGAAATTTTAGAAATATTGGAAATTTTAGCTAATTTTGAAAATTTTGAATTAAAATTGCTAGGGCTAATTTTGAAAATTTTGGTAAAGCAATTAAGATTTCATGCTAGTATTGTGTTTGATGATTTTATGAACAACTCAAATGTTTAGTTGAGCCTATATACGTTACAATGCATTTGTGGCCTCCCTTATTCTAGTGAAATCAAGGGACAAAAACACAACCTCACTTAGTTTGAGGGACGCAATATGTTTAGCATCGTGTACTTGAAATGTATCGAGGAAGACTAATATCTTTAATCAATAAATGTTGAAGTTGAGCGCCCCTACTTAAGCATGTAGGTTTTGAGTGAAAAAAAAGAAAAAAAATGAGTTACATGTGAAAAAAGAGAGAGAGAATTACAAGAAAAGTTGTAAGAATTTTGGAGCAATCAAAGTGAAGATCAAAATATCAAAGTTCTGAAGAAATTCAAAAAGTTGAAGATACCAAA